TTAATAATTATAAAATTATTTTAATTTAATTATTATGTGATATTAAAATAATTCTATAAATTATTTTGTTAGCTACTAACGCTCCCTACTAACAAATAGATCAACAAAGATTTGCTGCTTATTTGTTCTGCACTGTTGCCAAGCATACATTGTTTACTTTTGACATCCCGGAATGCATTATTAATTTTTTTTAGTAAATTAATTCCAGATAGTAGACATATATTGAAAAATTGTATAAATTGTTAAAAATACACAAGTAGTATTTTTTGTACTAGATTTTTATCACTTTTGATTCTGATTAAATTTATAACTTCAATTTTGGTAACAAACTACAAATAGTTTGTGAGATTGGCAACACTGAGAGATATATTTTTAGTGGTTATCCATGTTACAGTTTCCTTCTTCGTCATTTTGGCAGCTTCTACTTATATTACATAGATGCCACAAAAGTCAAATTAAATATTCAATTAATAATAAAATATATGTACGCCGTTGCTCCCACTTGGCGGCGCTTGTGTAGTTGGGTTGGGGGTCGTATGACAGTTCGTGAAGTTTGTATATGGTGTTTTTGTTTATGATCAATACTATATTATTTATCTATGGTTTATGATTTAACAAATTATGGCAGAAAAATACGGATCTTGGATTGTTTGTGCGTTAAAAAACGAATTAAGAAGAAGGAACGCCAAAGTTACTGGAAAAAAGGAAGCCCTTATCGAAAGGTAAACTATAGTAATCATCTTCTTAATGTTTTATTCCTATAGCTCAGACCAAAATAAAAATATTTATGTTCATCTAAGTTTTATAGTGAAGTATTTGTATTTGGGTTTGAGCTAATACAGTCATGTAACGTATCAGTGGTAATTAGGTAAGCTACCATACATTTAATACATGTTTGGGGTCGCCTTAAAACATAACTCATTATAAAATATTGTCTTTAATATTATATGTATAAAAGTTATTGTGTGGTTGCTAGAAGTTCAATGCTTTGCCTGCCCAGAAACTGATAAGTAGTAATCTTTATTTCGAAAATTGTACATACATGTATACAAAGCCATAGGTATATACATTACATATATGCACACTACATACATATATGCAGAGCAAAACACACATAAAAAATAAATGATATATGGATGTCTTTGTCCCTTTGTCTTTAAGATATAAATGTTATGTAATGGTTAGTGTTGTAACATAATACCTACATTGCATCAACCTATTGCTTATACATTTTGCAAATAGGTATTTTTAAAAAACTTGGTGATAAGGTTTTGTTGTTGGCAGATAATTCTCAATCTATGTCATAATACTTTCCTTATGTAAAGGTCTAATTACTGCTAATTTTAGTATATCTGAGAACACACCTGATTTAAAAGAAGTGTTCAGGTACTGCATATGTTAATGGTATGACAATCGTATTTACATATTTTTTAATGATCAAAGTTGAAATTTCATCATAACCACTACTCTCTTTATTTTTCAAACTCTCTATAATAAAAACAAGTTCTTCCTTAACAACACTTAAATGCATAGATCTATTCACTTGCTCTATAGAATATTCATAAGAGCATATTTTTTCTTGCATTTTCATAAATATTCATTAAAATCACTAAAGATTCTTTTGAAGCACAAAACAGTACTGTATTTACATATTTATATTAAAACTTAGACTTTGAGTAGTGTGATCTGATAATAAATTTTTGTGAATTGTGACTGTATATTCTCCATTATAAATTATAAAAAATGTTAAGATGTATTATAAATGTAAACTATTCTATTTTCTATTACAGATTGGCTGCATATGATAGAAATAATGATTTTCGAGATGACATTATGGACTGTTCCTTTGGAGAACCAACATCAAATATTTTATGGCCACCAAATGAGGATTTCACAAGTCTTCAGAAGTTCCTCCAATATACATTGTTGACATAAACAACTACTTTCTATGTAGTTAGAAGTTAGCTGAAGGAATGAGTATGTGTGCTGCAGTTCACAGAAAAGGCTACAGCATGTTGAAAAATAATTTTTTATTAGCTATGGTGGAATTAAAAATGGAGGAGCATCATTTTTACCAAGCACAGGTCAACAGTGAAATGACCAAATGACCTAACCTAACCTATTGTTAAACTGGCAGAAGAGCAACTTATGCTATGATCCAAGACCACAAGAATATATAAATATGCCTGATTTTAATGAATATGGTTATAGCCTTGGCTGAAAAATATTATTTATAAATCTTTCTTCTTTTGGTGCCTGCTCGTTTCAAATATTGACTATAATTATTTTATTAACTATCCTTATTTCATTAAGCGATGCAGGGTGTATAAACAACGATAAATTTAACAGATAATTGTTAAAGATGTTCCAAATGAGTCTACTCGTTCCGATAAGTAACAGTATAATTATGACACTTTATTATTTTTTTTCTTTTCTCAAATAGTTGTGTTTATTGCATAGTAAATAAATTAATGTTATCACTGAATACATAGTAAGTGATACAAAAAATAATCCGATTTATAAAATTAATGAATATTTTATGCATAAATGCAAGTAACAGTTCTTCAAAAATATTTAAAAACTAACCGAAATGTCCATCTTTATTTCGTCTGGCGATGTTTTCGGCAGCTCATACGGTTCGGACACGATTTAATGTTTACATCTTCCTGCATCGCTTAATGAATTTTACTATAGACTTATTTTATTCTGATCATAATTATTTTATTAATGGATGCTTTAAATAGATTAGTTGTTGTTGTGGAGAACCATTTCCTAGGGTTCTTTAACTACAGATATTCTAACTTACTCTTCTTCTTTCTTTTTTCATCCTTTATAGTACAGTCTCGTTGGTTATCTTGTATGTCCATGATATCCTCAGGATTCTTCTGTATTCGCAATTGAAACTGAATGTAGAGGGCAGGTCAATTGCAGTGTCATGGCCGATATAAATGGTATAAACAAACATAACAGTTGAATGTTTAGTTTGGTATAACACTAGTTATTTATATATTTTAAAAATGGAAATTAGCCTTAATGATATCTTTAAGTATTGTGGTGAAGCAAAGAGTCCATTGCTTGAAGGGGAAGCAGTTTTCAAGTGATGAATTCCTAAATTTTAATTTTAATGTTTCAAACTGGCTTGTGTATTGATGATGAATTCTATTTTGTTTATACCTGGGAACCCAGAATATAATATTATGTGTAATAATATATGCAATATTTTATATTATGCCTTGTTTTTAATATGTTAATTTTTATTTTATACTATTTTTGACATATGTAAGTACTTTATTGTAAGATAGTTTGAAGGATTGAACTCTGTAGTATAATATTGAGAATGTATAACATAGGAGCTTTACTTTGATCTCCAGATTAAGGTTGTGGCTTTTATACTCTGCCTTATATTCTAGCCTTCTCTATTCTACATTTTACTTCTGAGTAATCCCATTGTTCATTTACAATTGTTCCAAGATGGGTATACTGTTTTATTTGGTCCACTGGTGTATTCTTGATAAGCAGTTGGATGTCTCTTAATTTTATTTTTGCTGATGACTATATGTTTACTTGTAGTCCAAATCTTTCACTTACTTATTTATAAATAATGTAGATAATTCACTATATTAATTGTGAAATCAGTCACAATTTAAGTTGGAAATTAATTTTATTGACATACAAAATATTAATAAGTAAACAAATTTTGTTGACACATTGCTTTGTAAAAATTTTTTCTAATAGCTATTAGAAGAATTGTTATTAAATAATTAGAAGAAAACTTTTACCAATCAAAATAAACAAAGGTGGAAGTCGAAAATCAATAAAATTAATTTCCAACTTAAATTGGCTCATTTCCCAATTAATACACTAAATTATATAACATGTCAGGAAGAAATAGCTTTAGGACAACATTAATGTAGATTATCTGTATAACAAAATAAAAGACAAATAAATAGTTTTTGTTTTATAAATTTTTATTTAATATGTTGCTACGAATATTTGCTAACATACTTTTATAAACAATGTAGATGATCTATATAAAAAAATAAAAGACAAATAAATTGTATTTCTATTTTATTAAGTTTTGTCCGTTATGTTGGTATGAAAATTTGCCAACATAAAACATACAAATATTATTAGACTTCTCAATGGTACTAAATTGCTTGACAAATACTTCAAAATCTTATATGTTTTGCCCAAACCCATTACTCTCTCAATATGTATTCTATTGGATGAAATTTTTTTTGAGCAACAAAGCTGGTGAGGGTCAAGCTGGCCAGATTTACTTTTTAAAAATTCTGGCACATTTACTGTCACATCTTTGGATGCTAAAATGTCTTGGATCTGAAAACTTTAATCTGCTAATACTATGTCATTTTTTTCAAGTAAATTAGACCGCACTTTTCAAACAAGCATCTATCACTAATGGAACCTCCATAACTGGAAACAAAAGATATGCTTCCTGTACTCTAAATGCCAACTAAAACTTTTAGTGTATTACATGATTTATATGTTGAGTAAGTCAGTTGTTGTGATACCAGATTTTTAGGTTGATTTATCTTCACCTTAGTACAATCTATGATGACTGTACTAGTTACATTGCTGGCCTTTGAACTTCGCTTTTCTTTAGCTATATTAAATAGTACCCAGATGTTAAGTTCTCTAAATTGACAATACAGAAAGTTAATTCAAGTAATAAATATATGGCTAACTAATGCCTCACTTATATCAAATTTAAATGAAAGTTCTTTATTGATCATATTCCGCCTTAACTTAACAACTGTAAGTAGAAACTCATTTGCTGGAGTTAATATTCATACACTCATTTTAGATCCCGTTGGATAATATAGCAGTTGGTTAACTGCAGGACCCAAGATATTAAAAACAAGCCAAAAATGTTCAGAGCTATCGAACCCAGTATAAAATTTGAGTTCTTCCAACTTAGACTCACATTGCAAATTCTCAATACAAAATGAGTTAAGTGGCATTTATCTCTAGGTTGATCTTCATGGTCGTCTATCTCCATTGGTATTGACTATTTCAACCTCATTGCAAGGTTCTGTTGGGATTGGGTTTGACGAACTGATGGATGATAAATTTGATGAATCTTTTCCTACTGCACGTTTCATCATGTGTTCGTTTCTCTGTTTGGCTGATTCTCGTTTCTTTTGCATCCAGCTAAATTGGGTTGGTATAACACCCTTCTTTAGTCTAGGCTTTGCTGTAAAAAAAAACAAAAAAGTTGAGGTTATAATAATGGTACTAAGTAAATAATAATTTAATGAAATAAAGACTTCTTTTGTATGTTAGTATATTAAATTAATTTAATATAAAAACATACAACAGCAGTCTTTACTTCATTTTAATATGGCATACAGCCAACTACAGGGTTTTCCCTGTTATATTCTTAGTATCTAAATATGGCTGCTGCAACTAAATATTCCAGAAAAACATAAGTATTTTAACAAATAAAAAACTTACGATTTTTTAAAGTCCAATCCAGGGGCAATACGTAATCTGTTTCAACAAAATGTTTATTGCAGATACATGCATTTATCGTCGGCATATATTTATCCCTTCTAATTGCTACAATCCACTTTTTTCTCATCACAATATCTTTGGGAAACCTGTGTCCTGTTCTCGATGATGAAGAAGTTCTCGATGAACACAAAGGCACAACACAACATTGAGGCATTTTATTTGCTTAAATTAAATTCACAAAGCCAAATAAACACAATATTTACCACAATCCACAACTAAATTGATTATAAGAATTGACATGACCCATGACCCAGATTGACATCTGTATATACTATATTATTTATCTATGGACATGACCTCCCTCCAACTGCACAAGCGCCACCTACGTTGAGCTTTTCAGATTAGCTGCTATTGTCATTTGATTACTGTGGTAATATATTATCCGTAAACTGCAAGCAAAACTTTGAGCTTTTTAAGACAGGTGGCGTTGGTAGTCATTATTAAAAGTTGTTTAATATTTAAATAAAATAGTGTTTTAAATATATTTAATACGTTGAAATTATATTACAGTCATTATTAAATATCAATATTTTGTATAAAAGACTTCCAGCTTTACCAATTCTTTAAAATGTTATACAATGTTGTCAAGCTACCATTTTGTGGGCGTATACAAAATCTTGGTAGACGGAACTATCAACGATCTTCACGCCTTTCTGTTATCCTGATACAAAATCGTACATCGAAGTAAAATTCTTAAATCACGTAAATAACGAGTATATTTTTCAAAAGTCTCTTTCTTTTCCTTTTAATTTTTTTTATTGAATAAAACGATAGATAGGTGTTTATTGTAAAAAATACTTGCTTTTTAGGCCCCTAATGTAGAGAAAACGACACGGAATAGATTACCATAGAAGGAATATTGAAGAAAAATGCACGCTTTATACAAAATTAGTTGGATTCATAAAGTTGGCCAGTGAGGCACATCCCACTACTATTATTATCCAGATTTGGCCATACAGCTCATTCAGCCATCCCAGATACCTACGGTATCAAAAGGATTGCGCTGTTATCAAGTCCTATGTGACTTGAGCGTCGGAGTACTTATCTCTCAAAAATTTTCGTACGCATCTGGACGTCGAGTAGGTATAGCACAGCTTTCTGTATAAAAGTTCTTTGTAGTCATATAGATGGTGGAATAATAGGTACCGTCTGGGTACTTTTCATTCTCCATTGTCTCCTTATTTAGATCTCCAGATCTCTGTCCTTTGCGATCTTCTCCTTGTATTTAGCACGCATATTATTGTTGTTTGGTACCGCCACATCGATTTGTGTTGTTCGTCTCGTTAGTTTATTAACTAGTGCTGGATCTGGTCTATTATGTGCTACTCTTTGGTTTGTGAGCACAGTGCGATCCCAATATAGCTTGTAGTTGTCATGGCATCCTGAATGGCAATTAGGATGAACTTTCTGTTTCAGGGAACATCTTTTCTGATGTCAACCCGTTGGACGCTGTGTTGTTTCCTCATGCTTCAGGTTCCCTCAGTGTGATCGGTGTTTTGTGTTAACTATTCTGCAAATCGTAGTAAATTGTTTTCTTATTGCTCACTTATTCACTCACTTTTCCTTGCTTTTCACTTCAATGCTTGTTAAGAAGCATTGAGAAGCATTTTGATATCTCTTAATATATTAAAATTCTTAAATACTTATTGTTAGTCATATTTTTACATCTCCCTTTGTGTAATAGGAATTGAGAATAGACTTAATCTTAGACCATCTTGGAAGAGCAAAATGGTGTTCAGTAATATACTTGATGTCAGGATTTCACCAGACACGATTAGAACAATCATCAAGGGAATACATACATCCTTTATCACAGAAAAATGAGTTTTTCAATTCACCAGGTCACCTGCTGGATTAAACATAAGGCCAAACAGCTTTCAAGAATGATATCGATAGCATCCTCAGGCTTAATACCAGAAAGCATTTCTGTACATGGATGACATATTGGTGATAGAAATACACAGAAACACACTAAGACTTAACTTAAAAACATTTGAGATACCTACTTATGTCGGAAATTTAACTTGAAACTGACCCCAGCAAAATGCGAATTTTTCAGAACAGAGGCCACATATTTGGGACACGACCTTTCTCAAGAAGGAGTGAGTAGGTACACCTGATAAAGCAAAATACTCAACAATAGAGAAATGCCCGACTCCTAAGACAGCGGACCAAGCTTAAAAGCATTTTTTAAAATATTACAGAGGTATTCCAAATGTTGCAGAAATAATATGCAAATATTCATATGCAAATAGAGCGGTAAACACAAATATTTAAGCGATTTTATTTTTAAATTGAAATGCCCAGATATCTGAGAACCAACAACGACTGTCTACTCGATTTCGTACTAGGATAACAGAAATGCGGAGAGGTGGTTGGTTTGGCTTTATAAAATAGAAACCTCAAGTCAGTAGTAAAATACTTTGTACACACCCATTCGCTACTAACGCTCCCTACTAACAGATAGATCAACAACGATTTGCTGCTTATTTCTTTTGCGCTGTTGCCAAGCATACATTGTTTTACTTCTAACATCCCGTGATGAATTATTAATCTTTTTTAATAAATTAATTGTAGATAGTAGACATTTATTGAAATATTGTATAAATGGGTTAAATACACCAGTAGTATATTTTAAGCTAAATTTTAATTAATTCTGATTCTGATAAAATTTAAAACTTTAGTTTTGGTAACAAACTACAAATATTTTGTGAGACTGGCAACATTGACATATTTTAGTGAGTACCCTGTTACAGTTTTCTACTTCGTCATTTTGACAGCTTCTACTTACATTACATAGATGCCACAAAAGTCAAACTAAATATTCAAATAATAATAAAATATAGGTTATTATAATTGTCATTTGATATTAAATTTTATTATCATATAAACTAAATAAGATATTCATAAATAAAATTTGAAAAAACTAACCAGTCGGATAATGAAAAAATATATACTTGGCAATATAATATAGGTAAACTGCAAGCAAAACTTTGAGGCTTTTAAGACAGGTGGCGATAATAGTCATTATTAAAATTCGTTTAATATTTAAATAAAACAGTGTTTTAAATATATTTAATACGTTGAAATTATATTACAGTCAATATTAAATACCAATATTGTATATAAAAGACTTCCAGCTTTAAATATTCTTTAAAATGTTAGTACATATTTACAATGTTGTCAAGCTACCATTTTGTGGGCGTATACAAAGTCTAGGTATTGGTAGATGGAACTATCGACGATCTTCACGCGTTTCTGTTATCCTGATACAAAATCGAACATTGAAGTAAAATCCTTAAATATCACAACCTACCTACCTATCCCTGAAGTTGTTGTTTTTTTAAATAAATTAATTTAAAATTTTTCAAAAGTTCTTTTTAATTTTTTTTTATCGAATGAAACGATAGATAGGTTTATTGTGAAAAATACTTGCTTTTTAGGTCCCTAGTGTAGAGAAAACGACACGGAATGAATAGATTAATACCATAGAAGGAATATTGAAAAATGCACATATACAAAATTAGTTGGATTAAAAAAAGTTGACCAGGGAGGCACACCCAGATTTGGCCATACAGCTCATTCAGCCATCCCAGATACCTACGGTTATCAAAAGGATTGCGCTGGTGTGGGACTCTTTTAGCATTATCGAGTCCTAGATGACTTGAGACGTCGGAGTATGTCGCAAAAATTTTCGTACGCATCTGGACGTCAAGAGTAGCACAGCTTTCTGTATAGTCATATAGATAGTGGAATAATAGGTACCGTCTGGGTACTTTTCATTCTCCATTGTCTCCTTATTTAGATCTCCAGATCTCTGTCCTTTGCGATCTTTTCCTTGTATTTAGCACGCGTATTATTGTTGTTTTTTACCGCCACATCGATTTGTGTTGTTCGTCTCGTTAGTTTATTAACTAGTGCGGGATCTGGTCTATTATGTGCTACTCTTTGGTTTGTGAGCACAGTGCGATCCCAATATAGCTTGTAGTTGTCATGGCATCCTGAATGGCAATTAATGAACTTTCTGTTTCAGGGAACATCTTTTCTGATGCCAACCAGTTGGACGCTGTGTTGTTGACAGAGTCGTCAGGTTCCCTCAGCGTGATCGGTGTTGTGTTAACTAACTCTTCTACAAATCGTAGTAAATTGTTTTTCTAATTGCTCACTTACTCACTCACTTTTCCTTGCTTTTCACTTCAATGCTTGTTAAGAAGCATTGAGAAGCATTTTGAGCGATTTAAATTCTCCAAGTGAGCCCATGTGATATTTATTACTCTTAATATATTAAAATTCTTAAATATTGTTAGTCATATTTTTACATCTCCCTTTGTGTAATAGGAATTGAGAATAATCTTAGACCACCTTGGAAGAGCAAAATGGTATTCAGTAATATACTTGATGTCAGGATTTCCCCAGACACCATTAGAACAATCATCAAGGGAATAAATACATACATCCTTTATCACAGAAAACTTAAAACTAAACTGAACAAATTCTAAATCTAGGACAAAAAATCTTTAGCGATTGGTGCGTATACTATAAAGACAATACCATATTTGTCTATTACACGCGGGGATTTCTCACAGTCCGACCGATTCCGGCATATACCGAGGATGACGAAATTTATGCCCTGAAGAGACAATTTCTGTTTTGTCTAGCACAATGGACCAAATTAAATCCTTGATAGGTGTCGCGCGGGTTTTCAACAATATTTTTTTGATTTATTGGAGAATGCTTTAAGAGGGTAGGCGCAAAATTTCGAGCCAATGCTTTTTAAATGCATTCATGTTTTTCGAATCCTGAGAAAACTAATACGTATTTTTGAAAAATTTAAACGCAGAATGAAAGATTAAATTATTACTAAGAGTCGAAAGTCCCTGAAAACTGCTATGTTTATTTTAGTAAGTTTACAAGGGTGAAAAAGAAGAGAAAATTAAATGTGATTTTTAATTTCAAATATCTCATTCAAAAAAACTTTTTGTTTATTTTAATGGACTTTCGTCTTTCGGCCCTCGGTAATAATGTAATCTTTTACTCTGCGTTTAATTTTTCAAAGATATTTAATAGTTTTTTCAGGATTCGAAAAAAATGAATGCATTTAAAAAGCATTGGCCCGAAATTTTGCGCCTACCCTCTTAATGCTATGACGACTTGTGGAAATCTTATTTAGTTTTTTTTTTACTCGTCTCGGACAGGTGATTTAAGAGCGTTCAATAGATATATTTCCTTTTTTAAATAGTTTATCATGGATTCAGTTGGTTTCGACCCCTTCGTGTTTTTAAAAGAGAATTAATTTGTTTACGGCGTTTAACTTGAAAGATAAAATTAAATTGAAAAAATAGTCAAAAACGACCTAAATTAAGTTTATCACAAAAAGATAGAAAAACAACAAGACATTTCAATCATAAATGGTACGAGAAGTTTATATGGCTTTACGGCAGCGAAACTAAAAATAAAATATTGTTTTCCTTGTCTGTTATTTGGAGACGATTCATCTTGGACTGGAAGTGGAATAGATACTATAAAACATTTTGTGGACAAAGCTAGCAGACACGCTACCTTAAAAAATCATATTTCGTCGCATGAAATGTTCCATTTGTTGGGAAAAGTTCGAATAGATTATGCAATTGACCACGGAAAAAAAATTGATGCCCAACGTCACAACGAGCGTGTTGTTAAAAATCGCAAAATTGTCGGTCGTTTATTAAATGTAGTTCGTTTTTTGGCTTGTCAAGAATTAGCTTTACGAGGACATGATGAAACTGGTACATCAAAAAATAAATGTTAGTAGAAGTTACTAAATTTTAATCACATTACTATTGCAATAAATATATTTTATTATAAAATACTCTCAACTCTAGAATTTTCATGAACTATATTTGATATATTTGTAGGAAATTATTTGTAACTGTTAGATTTACTTGCTCTGGAAGAACCTAATATGCGTGATCACTTAGAAGCCAGTAACATTTTTAAAGGCACATCTAGCGAAATTCAAAATCAGTTGATAGAATCGGTGGAATGTATTATCAGACAGAAAAGTTTTAAAGATTTGCAAGAAGCGGACTTTATATCTGCTCAGGCTGATGAAACAACTGATATATCCTGCAAATCCCAGTTTAGTGTAATATTAGGTATGTGTACAAAAAAAACATATGTGAAAAATTTATGGGATTTTATGACGTGTCTAGTGATAAAACAGCACATGGTCTTGCAGAAAAAATTATTCACGTTTTACATTCCGAGATATAAAAAATTTCTGTCGATGTAGGCTTATGTGTGGCAGAAATGACACAAAATATTAAAAATCTGAGAAATGACAATACAATTGAAATATGCGTAAATGAGTGCACCAATTTACTTCAAACAACTCTTGATGTTAGTAAAAAATTTTAAAACAATAGGTTTTGAAATACTGGATACAATTTGTACGCAATTACAACAAAGATTCGACAACACCCATTTACTCTCTTTCGTCAACTTACTAAACAAAAACAGTTTCGTAAATTATATTAAACAATTTCCAAAAAATCTCTTAGTTGTTTTAGATAAAGTATATCCTGAAACTTTTGATATGAGAAAATTAGAAAACGAGTTGATTGTAATTTATTCAGATGAACAAAAACATTGAGAACCTTACCATATTTTTTCATATATTTTTGACAACGAGTTAATAGAAGTATTTTCTGAATGCTATAAGTTACTAAAATTATTTTTGACCATTCCTGTAACAACGGCCTCATCTGAAAGATCTATGAGCACTTAAAAAAAATTAAAACATATTTGCGGAATTCAATGACTACTGAAAGATTTTCCTCATTATCCACTTTAAGCATTGAAAATGATATGGTGCACTCAATTACTCCAGAAATGAAAGAACAAATTATTGACTATTTTGCTAATAATAAAAATAGAAAAATTGACTTAATATGTAACAAAATTTAATATTTATTGTTTAGCGAATAAACATTATAGTTAAGTTTATTTTTTGTTTTAAAAAATATCTCCATGTGTTTGTTGTGTTTACTTGTTTATGAAAATAAAATATTTAAAAAATATTCTGTTTTATTTTCCTCATTCCTGAAATAAGGATTACTCCTTTAAAATTGTCTACCCAAAATTTTTCATCAAGCTTCGCCACTGGATATCGATAGCATCCTCAGGCTTAATACCAGAAAGCATTTCTGTACATGGATGACATATTGGTGATAGAAATACACAGAAACACACTAAGACTTAACTTAAAAACATTTAAGATATGTCGGAAATTTACCTTGAAACTGACCCCAGCAAAATGCGAATTTTTCAGAACAGAGGCCACATATTTGGGACACGACCTTTCTCAAGAAGGAGTGAGTACCTGATAAAGCAAAATACTCAACAATAGAGAAACCCTACTCCTAAGACAGTGGACCAAGCTTAAGAGGTTTTATTCCAAATGTTGCAGAAATATGCAAATATTCATATGCAAATAGAGCGGTTAAAGCACAAATATTTAAGCGATTTTATTTTTAAATT